CTAACCCCTGACCTGGGTCTTTTCTCCCTACAAGGTGTCTCCCTGCTCCAAGAGCTCCAAAATGTGCTGAAATGGGGAAGATATGGAGAGGAACAGAAGAACTGTAACCAACATCCCACCTCCACTATCATCACCTCATACTTCAACAAGCATTGAGTCACACTATTCTGGGCTCTGTTTTTGGAAATAGAGGTATAGGGAAGTAAAACCACATGGTTGGAAAAGGACATTCAGAAGACATGACCACTGGTTTGACTGGCAAGCTGGACCCAGGTATTTGAGGCTCTCCACTTCCTCCCTGTACCTGGAATGTGCTCTCTGCTAGCTTCCCCTGTGCTGGAAGCTGCCCAAGGACACAGCCTTGAGATAGTGACGTGGTGATAAACATGGGTGCATGACTGAAGCTTGTTAAGCTTTCCTGTGTATGTGACTGTCCCTAGTTAAAGCGTTCATATAAACTTTGAAAATCTGACTGGTAGGCACAGAAATCTATTAGTCTTATAGTCGCCTGAGGCAAGTCTAATAAGTATGTTTCCTTTTTCACTAAATCTGAAGCCTACCAATCTAGAGTGGTCTGTCTTTTCTTTGGTTTCTCCCTGCCCTCTGAGTTCGGGGGCTGGTTTTTGATTACACCCAGGAAGCTTCTGAGGAGGTCGCAAGCCAACACACACACATGCCCCAAGAGTGCTCACCATCTAGACCATTCCTTAGACATCAAGGCACATATGTGTTGCCTCTGCTTGGGAGCAGCCTTGGAGGTCTAGTGGTCACTCCTTTGATTACTACCATTACGTAGGTATGACAAGGCCAACAAATCAGGAGATGGCTGCACTGAAAAGATATTTTCTTATACTTACAGATCCAAGAAAAAGGGACATGACATGCCACACCATGGCAGGTGGGGAGGGTGGTGGGGCATACAAAGAAGCCCTGGGATTGGCCAGGTGGTGGAGTGAGAGGGGGATGGACAGGCAAGAACATTCTATTGTGGTTTCCATAGAAGGAATGTGTGAGGCAGGGTAAGTCTCACCCATTGCATAAACTTGGATCAACTAGTTTACACAATTTCCGCAGGCTCTGGGGCATAGAGGCTGTCTTAGGTGTCTCTGTGAGTTGTATTACCCAGTGATCAGTGCCATGAAACACCCAGAAAAAAAAAACAAAACAAAACAGAAGAGGCTTTTATCATTGGAGAAGCCAAGTGGAACAGAAAGTAGCAGGTGCCAAAGAGAGTCAGTAAATTCTTCCTGTAGCATTCTGGTATCTCCAGGGCCAGTCCCTGAGTGCAGGGCCACTCTACAGAGGAAACCTCTGTGCCATTGACAAAATTATGTAACTTTCTGGAATCTCAGTTTCCTCTTTTGTAAAAATGCAAATAAGAGTGCTCACCTGATAGAGTTGTACTAAGGAGTTAATAAAATAATAATGGAACACTTAACAGTGCCTAGCACACAGAACATGCTCAAGAGTGTTAGGTGTAGGCTTCCTCTCTGCATCACCAGCAACTCTGAGCACCAATTAGGCATGGAGAGGACAGAGGCTTTGAGATGAATCTTCCAGTTAGAGGTTGTTCTCTGGAGATAGGGTGGGAAATGGGGTGGGGTGTAGTAGCAGGACTGAGCATCAGAGATAAAACTGCCCCCTATTCCATCACCCCCTCCAATATCAGCCACCCAGTTCACTGAGAGATGCTCTTATCTTTTTATTCATAGCAAAATCTAAGTGTTCAGCAGCCCCTGAGCTCATCAGCTGGAGAAGGGCAATGAGAAGGAGGTGAGAAGAAGGTGTCATCCTGCAAGAAAACAGCATTCTGTGAGGAAGTGAAAAATGGGCAGAAGATGAAAAATAACTCCTGGGTCCAGATGAGAGGGGAGGACAAGGAGGAAAGAAAGTAGAAATAGGTGTTCTTGGGAGCAGGGGAAGGGGACCAGCAGGGCCAAGGCAGCCTGGATCTCTTTGCAGCACTCTCAGGAAGCAGGTGACAGGGAAGAGAGTTGTGCGTCATGCTCACCCAACCAGGTTCAGGAAAGGGCCTCTGAGGTTGGGAAGTCAGGGAAGTTTTACACCCTGGCATCATGTCATAAAGGTATTCCCTTGTCTTCACCAATAAGCACAGCCAGTACTTGGGATCTAAGATAGCTGTGGAGGGTAAACCTTCAGAAAGAGCCTGAAACAATCCGCAGTGTGTGTCTGGGGGGATACTAGCTGCCTTTGCTCTGGTTCTCTGCCTAGGCAAGTTGTTTTGCCTTTCCCTGTTTCCCCTATGCTCTTTCTTGTCAGCCCTACAAGCCTGGCAGCTACCCTGCCAGGAATTGCCAAGTTTGCTGACAACTCTCATTATAGACCTTTTGTTCATTCTTTCAACAAGAAGAGGTAGGAAAAGTGTGGTCCAAGAGCCCTGGTTGCCATCTGCTCAGATACCATTACATTGCCCTTAACTAATCCTGTCCACAGGGAAGTAATAAAGATCTCTGCTGGTAAAGGCTTAAAATTAGAATAGAGGTTCCATGAAGACAGTAATCCTTGTGCATTTTAGCATCTTACTATATATCCCAATACCTTTCACACAGCAGAACTCAATAAATATTTGTAAAGTAAATGTACACAAACATTCATTATCTACTTACGAAGAAATAAGGTTCAATGACTCTAAACTTTGTTCAGTGGCTGAATAATATTATTATGGCCTCAGATTTTTTTCTCTGTTTCTATTTCACAATCCTTATAAATTTTACCTCAAAAGTAGCAAGTGATTGACTAACTCCCTGGTGACAACTCCAGACCTTACATCCTCATACCAACATCTAAAGCAACAAGGGTTATGGATAATTTTGAATCTCTGGTTTTTATTCAGGAAACAAACTTTCTCTCATGAGCTCCAGACATCTTTTCTGTCTTCTTGGCCTGATTTTGGTCACGTGTCATAACTCTACTTCATACAAAGGTGTCTAGGAGGTTGGTTATTGGTTTAAATGGTAATTATCAGCCAGGACTGGACACATGATCACCCTGAATAAAATAAGGATACTTTTAACACAGAGAGGGAAAATTTGCCACTCAGTGAAAATGAACTGTGTCGGCCAGAGTTACAGAATCTGATTTCTGCTTCTACTGTTGGCAACCCCTCTATCCTCCATCACCTCTTTTTTGGCTCTTTCTTTCAAAGAGATGCTGCTCCATGATGTGCAGTTATTTCTTCTGCAGTCTCCTTGAGAATGGAACCCAGGGATCCATTAAAACAATGTCTGTCTTTCAGTGACCAAGGTTGAGGTAAAGGAAAAGTAATAGAATACAACAAAGAAAGTGGACTAGGACCCAGATTTGGACTAGGTAGTAGACTAATTCATCGTTCATTATAGCTCCTCCAAGGGGCAGGCACCGGGGATTCAATGACATGCAAATTAAAAAGGTTCCAACTTTCATAGATCACATATCCCAAGGGGGGATGTAGTTAAACACTGACAGATAAATATATATTATAATGTCACGACTGAGAAGCATCTAAAAAAGGGGGAGAACAAGAGATAAAGCATGATGGGAAGGCTTCTTGGAAAAATAATGAGAATTGAACTTGTTTGTGGAAAACCATGTAACCATTGAGGGGACACAGAGTAGAAAAGCCCTGAGGTAGGAAGGTGGTTATAACTCATAGGAATGCCAAGTGAGCAAGGATCAGGAATGAGGTCAGGGATTCAGCCAGTGGCTGGATATAACCATGCGGTTTTCTTGGCTATGACAAATACTGGTGATTTTATTTTATGTGTAAGTATCAGTCATTAGAAGAGTACTTTGGATAGGAAAGTGACATAATTTGGTTTAATTTTTTAAAAGTCACTCTAGCTGCCATAAATAGGAGTACATATTAATTATTACAATGAATAGTAATACACAGTTGGACAAAACATAACAAATTGTGATAAATATTTAATAAACACAAATGGCATCTTTTATAAATGTATTTCTTAAATGAGAGAGATGAAGCTGCTTCCCCCCCCCAAGTATTTTATATACCCATGAATAAATAATTTCAGAGAAAAATAAAGTTTAGAACCAATTACAGTCCTATTTTTTCTTTTCATAGCTATAAGCTTTGAAACTACTTCATAGTTATGTACATAGGAAGGGGAAATTTTATTATAGTAATGCCATTCAATTTGTTTTAATTCCTTTTGCATTATTAGTTAAAATCCACATTACAACTTATTATTGAAAGTTATTTTTTATGGTCTACCCATTAATAACTAGATTATGTCATTTTTCAGTGTTGAGTCAAAACCTGGAAGCTTCCCAACGTGTGAAAGACTTGTTATCCAGTCACTGAGCCGCTCAACATTGGCAACGTTTTGAATCATTTTTTTGACATTCTGCTGATTTTTATACCCCAGGTCAGTGAACCATGGGAAGATTCAATGACAAGTAAGGGCTCATTTTTCTTTTGTTATGGGGGAGAAACATAATGACAAATGTATCGCCTTGATCAAAGCGCGTAAGTTTAGAAAATAGTACATATACAAATCAAAAATCTAGAAAATTCATTATTTTAAAACTTCCATGGTCCACCTCCCTGCTGGAAAATTCTGCCTGAACATAGTTTGGAGCCCACTGTGCTAGTTGCTGTGGGCCACAAAGACATCCGTGTTATTTTCTTTCTTTGTACCTCTACTGCCAAGCAAAGTGCTTGGCACAAAGTGAGTATCCTTTTGTTAAATATTAAAAGAACTATATTGTCCATCTCAGTTTCCCCCATTTTCCTCATATTTTTCCTAATCCTTGCTAAGATAGAGTTATTGGGATGCTAGAAACAGTTTCTGGGTAGAGGAGTCCAAAGCCAGAAGTGGTAACATCAAAAATATGTACACAGAGAGATGTAAAAGTTGCCTTTACTACCAAAGAAGCTGTGTTGTAACAAATGAAGGGGCAGTTTGAGTCAGGTTTCCCATTTGGGGTCATGTTTTTATCCCAGTCATGGCCACATAGTTGGGTACTCATTCTTGTCCTTCTCAGGTCAGGTGGCAGCAGTGGGCAGTGGTCCAGTCTACCTTGCTGCACTGGCAGTGGCACATGGTTTCCCCCCGGATATCCCAAGAGCCACAGGCATAGCCACAAGCACAGCTGGTGACAGTGGTCCCTGCATGGGCATGTGAGACAAGGATGTTGGAGTCTGGAGATTTTGAGAGGAGGAAGGTCCACCCACAACCATCTTTCATCCCTGCATGGCCCAGGAGTAAATCTAGGTTTTGTAGGGACTAAAGTTAATTTAATTGTGAAGGTCCTCTTCAAGAAAAAAAAAAAAATACTAAAACCAGTTTTGGTATATGACCATGGAGAAGATCTGTGAAAGTGAAGGACCTAGGCGTTTCTGTTCCTTCAGATTCATGGTAAATGCACCTCATGCTGCTGCTTCTATCTATCAAAATAGAGCAATAGATTGAAAAAGGGAGATAAATGACAAGGGACTTGGTAGGTGATAGAGCTATAACAGGACAATTGAGAGGAAGGGCTTACACATTAGGTCATGGAAGGATGGTAGGAAAGGAAGTGGCAGAAACCCAAGATCCCTCAGTAGCTTCCTGAAGGGAAATGAGAATGGGTGAGCCATCTCTGGGAGCCAGGAGTCAGGACTCAGCTGTGAGCGAATACCAATGTGGCTAGAGGGACAGTGAAAGTGCTGAGGATAGACAGGGGAAGGCATACGGCATTTTTCCCACCATCCCTCCTCATGGCGTTACTCACCTGCAGGGCAGGAGGCCAGTTTGCCAGAGCTGGTGATACTGGTACAAAAGATCTTTGCTGGGGGAGAAGGATTGAACTCCGAGTAGGAGAGAAGAAAGGATATTGCCCATGATCTCCGTTTCCCATGATGCTCTTCTAAATCCCCTTCTTCCTTAGAGATGTCCCTGTGTCCATAATCAGGCTACTAACTAGTGTTAGTGTTTCATTTCCTCATTTTTAAAATGAAAGTAATCGTTGTAATTACCTCAGAAAGTGAAAATTAAGTGAAGTAATCTATATAAGGCTTTTCATCATACCTCATTCATAATGAGTATTCATAAATTATTGTTATCTTCCTTCTCCTCTCCCTCATCACCATCAATCTCATTATCATCAAGGAAACCCAAACTTTCAGCCAAGAGTCCAAAAAGGGATAGGGTAGTCGGAAAGCCCTGAGCAGGAGTCTTGGGCTGGAGCGGACTGATTAGAGGTTGGGATCTGGGGATGAGACAGAGGGGAAGCTAGGGTTTAAAAGTAGGAGGCATGATCAGGGGTGCAGATTCCTGTCAGTTACCCAGACCTTGGAGAGCTTCATTTATCTTTGTATCCACAATGGAGTCTAAGGAACACTGGGTGCTCCCTGCACTCAGCTGGAGAAGGAAGATGGGTACGAGAAGGCAGCAAGAAGTAGGCTTCATCCTGTAGAGAGGCAGTGTCCTGGGGCTGGGAGGAAAGATTGGAAAGAAGCTGAGATCTCTTAGCTCCTGTGATTGGGAAATAAGGGAGAAGAGAATGTGGAGTCTCAAGGTAGTGCACATGGAGAAATGGCAGAGTCCATATGGAGTCTGGATTTCTCTAAGAAGTTTGGAGAAGCAGGGAAGGTGGCTGCACAAAAGACTCACTTACCAAAATAATCAGAAAAGTTCCGCAAAGACTCTTCAGGCAAGGATGTTTTATAGCTCATGGTGTTGACCTGGGCACCCTTTAACACACAAGCATGGACACACATACAAAGACACTCCCTTGTATTTTCAGAGAACTGTGCCAGCTGGCGTGTGCCACAGAACAGTGGTAAACTTTGTTTGCTTTTGTTCTGCCACTTAAGTGTCAAGGGGAATTCCCCTGCTTTTCAGTTCCTCCCTCTTTTCTTCTTGGCCACATGATGAGGCCAGCGCCTGGACTTTCTGTTGAGTGGCCCATATTATAAGCCTCTTGTTTGATTCTTTATCAGTAAAAGTTATTTCATGGTCTGCTGACCTCTTAAGACATCATTTCATTGTCCCTGGCTAATCCCATCTGTGGGAAACTAACAGAAAATCTGTTGACCACTGATTTACAGACAAGAAAGAAGAGTACTATTTACTTAATGAGAAGCCTGGTGCTGGATTCCAGAGTTCTTTAGGAGGCTCACAAGGGTCATTACCAACCTGGCTTTTTCCCCTTTTCTTTACCATTCTCAATTTATTGGCTTTCCGTCCTTGATCTTGTCTCATTGTGGTCACAAGGGGGCAGGCATCACATTGTCAGCGGAGACCCTGAGCAGGGAGGGAGGACTGGAAAACCGCCATTCTCTGAGGGTTTCCCTTTCATTTTGGAAGTAAGACTTTCCTCTAGAAGCTCAAGCAGATTTTTTGCCTACATTTCATTGTTCAGTTCTGGGTCATGGGACTTCCTTTTCCACCATGTATGGCTGAGAAATCAAGTAGGGACTTCATAATCCTTATTTAAGGCCCCTGGGCCCAGATGTGTTTAAGAGCTCAGAATTTTTTCAGGTTTTAGAAAGGAGAAAAGTATAAATTATGTATACTATGCTATACTACTAAGCAGGTTGAGGAAGCATCCTGTAATCAAACATGTTAATAAATCTCCTGCAAAAATGTATGAATATTCACGAAACACATGATAAAGACCATAAATAGCCTGAGACCAGGCCATGTCAGGTTTCGCTGCCAAAAGACTTAAGTTTCAAACTTAGGGAAAATATTTTAGGCTCACAGAGACTTTAAGATTTTGGAATAATGAATAAAGGATTGAATCTCATGATTCAAGAGCAAGATGAGGAATCAGAGGCCAGATATTGGAGGCAGGCAGAGGTGGAAAGCCTGGCTCTGCCCCTGCGCTTCCAGGTTCGCCCCCGCCCCTTCCCTGGAGATGGCCTCTGAGACAGAGTTATTTCTTCTACCAATCTCTTTTGGGAAACTTTGAGAGTGGGGCTCAGTGATGGCAGCAAAAAGGCAAGGATACTTTCTTAATTGCCAGTTAGAAGGTGAAGGAAGGGCTGATTGAGGAGAGCAAGAAGGAGCACAGACTTGGATTTGGTATAGAAGTTGGGTAGATTAATATATTGGTTAATTCAATGACTATTTATACAACTTCTCTGTAGCACTTCTAGCTCTGGTGACTCAGCAATGGGCAACATAGGCAAAGCCCTTGCCCTTTTGAGACCACATTGTAATGTGAGAGATAAATATGTCATATGTCTTATATTTAAAAATTCCCTGAAAAAAAGAAATCAAGGCAAGTGTGTACTGTTGTACATAATGCATTGTGTTCAGGAACAGCATCTCAGAAAAGGTGACCTGTGAGCAATGACCTGGTGAGGTGTGCAGTGAGACAAGGGAAGAGCTGGAGCAAATTCCAGGCTATGGTGCAAACCCGTGTAAAGAGCCTACGGCAAGGACATGTTTGGCATGTTGCAGGAATAGGTACAAAGGCAGTGTGACCAGAGTAGTGAACAGGGAAAAGAAAAGTTAGAAAAGAGGTAAAAAAAAAAAAAAAAAATTACAACCAAGGCCAGATTATACAGGGCTTGTGAAACCAACGTAAGGGTTTTGGACTTTATTGTAAACTTGAAAGGTAATTACTGGAGTGTTTTTCTCATGAGACTAACACAAGATGATTTATGTTTTATTAAGCTTACTAAGGCCCCTGTTGTGGAAGAGAAATTGGAGGAAAAACAGGTAAACCAGGAAACCAGGCAGTGGGTTTTTGCAGATTTCCAGTTCTCAGATGGTGGTCAGGGAAGGAGTGAGAATTGGATGTGTTTCAGTTAGATATAGAAGGCTGAGCCTCATTAGGGTTCACTGATGGACAGGCTGTGGGGTGGAAGGGAAAGAGAGTAGAGAAAGATGAAGGCTATGTTCTGAACAACTTGCTGAAGACCGATGCTACTTACTGAAATGGGGACTCCTGGGGAAAGAGTATATATCACAAGAATGTTAAATCTCATTTTATGATGATCAACTTAATGTGCCTATTAGACATCCAGACAGAGATGTAGCATAAGGAGTTGGGTATACAAGTTCAGGGTTCAGGGGAAATGTGAAAGTCAAAGATACAGATTTGAGAGTAATCTACACACACATGGATATAATAGCATACAAAATAAAAAAGAGAGAGAGAGAAATCAAGCCGTGGTCAGGTGGCTCAACTGGTTGGAACATCGTCCCTACATCTAAAGGCTGTAGGTTCGATTCCCAGTCAAAGCAACTGTCTAGGTTGCAGGTTTGATCTCTGGTCGGGATGCGTGCAAGAGGCAACTGATCCGATGTTTTTCTCTCACATCAATGTTTCTCTCTCTCTGTCTCTAATTAGTAAAATAAATATTAAAAAAGAGAAATTAAAAACAGGTGAGGGTTCAAACAAAGAAAACAATAGACTGGGAAGTGGATGACTAGAAGGACATTGGTTTACAAATATGAATTGAGTTGCACTGAATAATGAGTTTGTTGAGAATGGCAGGGAAAGAGAAGAGAACAGGGTCACACAAGAGTGTTCTTAAACTGAGCCTGGACGGCAGGGATAGTGACCATCACCTGGCTAACACTTGTAGTCAGTGGTATGCCTAGTGTATTTGACACTCAGAGGGGATCGTTTTGTTTTTTTTTAATCCTCACCCAAGGGCATGCTTATTGATTTGAGAGTGGTGGGGATGGAGGGAGGGAGAGAAGGAAAAAAGCATCAATCAGTTGCTTCTCGCACAAGCCCACAGGGACTGAACCCACAACCCAGGCATATGCCCTGACCAGGAATCCAACGTGAGACCTTCTGGATTATAGGATGATGCTCCAACCAACTGAGCAACACCAGCCAGAGGGAATCACTTTTAACACCTGTGTCCTTTATATAACAAAATTATTTCCAGTGATTATCATGCAATGATCAGTAATAATCATTATTTTTATTCATTATCTGGTGTTAAAATAAAAAATAACTATTAAAAGAATGAATGTGAATTTTAAATATTGCTTAACATTTAGTATAATGTTTTTGTGTGAACTAAAATTTACATTTACCAAACAAAAATATTATACTTCTCAGTTTTGCATGCCCTTTGAATTTATATTTTGAACACAAACTCTTCATAATCATATAGAATGACCCAATTGATGTAATTCAGGCTCTGTTAATTTGTCTTTACAATCTCTGGGCTGTCACTGCTTATTCAGAATCTCTTATTTAACTGCAATAATATGCAGTGGCATAGGTATTGGTGACACAAATGTTAACTTGAATATTTCTAAACTGTTTAAGAACTAACTTTAAAAACGAAGACATATAGCTAAGGTTGGGTATGTGGGGCCCACTAAATAAGTGTAAGTTCTGAGAATTAAATTCCATGTAGAATACAATGCTTATTAAAAGATAAGTACTAAAAATTGCTAATTTGAAGTTTATAGGACATTATCAAAATTCTACAGTAATCACAGCAATTGTTTAGACCAGTGTTTTGGGGGAAAAGTATTTTACCACTGACATTATTTAGAATTGCCAGTGTATGATAATAATAAAAATCAAGTTGACTGTTATGCAGATTTATTGTTGCTTTTAAATTTTCTATAGACAATGCACTGTGCTTTGAGTCTGCAGGCCACCCTTGGTAGTCTCTGCTTATGGTATGAGGATGTTGCCTGGAATCAGCCACTGCCTGGTAGAGCTTCCACCTCAACGTTCCTGGACAATGTTTAGAAAATCTTATACAGAGAGGAAGGAGGAAAGATATTTGCTCCTTCAACATGTGTAGATAAACTAAGTGAAGTCTTTAAACATTTTTCTCTCCCTAGAGCTATCCCCTTCCTAAGAGTGCACTCCTTTCCTAATGACCCACATGTGGAGGTATAATTTTTTATCTTTCTTACCTCCATTTCCCAAGCCAAGCCATTTTCCACTGATTACTTTGTATTTTATTTTATTCTATATAAATAAAATTTGAAAAGTTGGTAGCATAGGGAAGACGCTGCAAAAAGAAACAACATAAATATGGCTAAAAGTAACTGGACAATTAAAACAATAAAGGTATGAAAGACGAGCCTGGGGCTAACAGCATTGTCTGCTACAGGAAAGGGTTAGGCCAGTGCTGTTTTCCTTTGACTTTCTTTGTACACAGGAGCTGGGATCTTCAATGTGGAACCCTCATGGTACAAAAGGTGATCCATTGGGTAATAAGAAGTAAATAGCAGAGCTTTTATTTTTATTTATTTTTTCTTATTCTTTAATATTTTCTTTTCTTTGAACATATGCCTAATTTCTGAAAACCCATGGTGCATCTGAAAAAAATAATAAGAAACCAAGAAAATCAAGAGCCACAGGAAGCTTGCACATGTTTCAAACAGAAGTTTCCAATTCTCTTTTTGCTAGAGTTGGTGAGCTCTCTGATGAAACTCTGAATGAAGTATTGCTATTTCATCTTGTGGATTTA